CTATACAGTATAAACGATGGGTTTATGCAAATTGTCCGCTTAGAAGTTTAAGCTTAGTTTAAACCATTGTTAAAGTTGAAGTTATGTAAACTGATGACGTGTTACAAAATAGAATACTCGGATAGTGGATAATAGAATATATATTGTATTTTAACAGATTATTTTTATTTAAAAATTTTATCGACTTTGTACAAAGTTGTACTCACATCTGTTTCCGTAAACAAGCAGATTGCTTTTCTGAGTAGAAATTCTAAGTTCGGAGGCATGAGATTTTTGTATTCTAAAATTTTCTTTTTAAACATTTTACCAAGGTAGACTTTGTCAAAGTCGTCAGTGTAAACACTTTAGTTTTATCTATTTCAGGCGCTAAGTAACTTGTTTTGTAACGATTAAAACGTTAGAAATTACAGAGTTCCGTTTATGCCATCAGGCCATCTTTGTATTCTAAAATTATTACACATAATGACGTGATACCAATAGTGATTTTCATATATATGTAGGCTGCAATTGCCACTTACTGTCAGGTTGGCAGTCAGCTTTATGCCATTCCTATATCATAAAAAAAATATTGATTAATACATTACATTTACATACATCTCTTTTCCCTCACAGAGAAACAATAATAAGGTTCAGCTTTTTGTCATTCCAATTTCATATAAAAATTAATTATTGATTAATAAATTAATCCCAATAAACATATAGTTATTATAGTAAAAGGTTATTATAGTTACTATACAACTGATAAATAATAATTATTAACTACGAATATTTCTTTTTGAAATAAATTTACCATTAAAAACTTTGAAATAGTTATATTTTTAACAGTTTATTTATTTATTTTTACTATTACTGCTTTTACTGTTATTTTTTTAATATTGTTAATGGAATCGTAACTAGAATAATTTTATTTTAAACAAAGGCTTACTTCTACTTCTCTTGAAGTAATTTTATATTATTTTAACCTCTTTGTAATTTAGTTTTTCCTTCTTTCCCATTCTCTTTCTACGTTTTACAACACTAAAATTTGAATATTACAGATGTGTTGGTGAAATTAAAATGGTTTTTGAAAAGCGTTTAGAGCTGCCGACGGTGAATTATGCAAATTCGATGCACATCTGCACTGGCTCGTATTTTTCTACGATCTTTATTCTCTAGGAAGCTTTTGTTATTAAAATATACGAGTATGAATAAGACCCTGAAAATATGCAAAAAATAAACGGAGTGTCTGAAGATGAAGCCGGTATATTATCTGATTTTAATATTAATTAAGTATTCGAGTTTATTTATAAAATACAAGATATTACCCGCCATTTTATCTGTACGGACTTTCAGCCCCTATTTCAGTCCTTATTGATTAATGTTTGATACTGAAGATAGTCTGCATCCATTCTCTTGATATACTCTATCTTTATGCCAAAATTCAAGTAATTTATTGCAAGAGTACTATTTTTTTTTCCCTCTCAAGGAAATAATTTTAAAGTTCTGAATATGTTTTAATGCCAAAAATACAACTGATTTTCGAATGTATTCGGTATTGTATGTTCTGAAAATATATACCGGTATTCCGCAAACTTTGTTATTATTGCAAACATCCCATGGGATGTTCTGTATTATCGGCTAATGCGTCAGCTTCCATTGCATTTCCATTCCATTGCAGTTTCCATCACGAATCGAATTATATTTCCAATAATATTGCAGGTATTTTTTATATAATCGGAATGACAAATGAGATGATTGTTGTGTACAGGGAAGCTAATACAAAAATCTTTGTAGAAATACGAGAGCATTTTCATTCTCTAACAAAGTATATTGTACGAGGTTTTTACCTACGGAGTCGGTCAAAATTTATATTATGTTATATTGAATCTACGACATTTTTTTTCGTTTAGTAAATACATACATAATATACATAGAAAACACACAGACCAGTACAATAATCATAATCATGAATACATTTACGCTATATACATAGCGTAAATGTATATTCCTAGTAAAATCGAAGCTCCCATTCCAAGTTGCCTTTAAATAACAGGGTTTTCAACTTACTAAACATATCGTGCGATGGTCCCGAGGGAAATTCAATTTTGAGTATTAATATTTGTTATCAAGTCCAATTGACGTTAAGTTTTAATGAAGATATGTTGACGACTTCTGCAATGGCGAAGTGGTCATCATATAAGTTGTGTTTTGATCAAATTTAATTGTAAGTTTAGTAGTATGTATTTGTACTGCTTGTTATGTAACACGTCTCTTCTATATGTAACTAGCTGTCCCGGCAAACGTTGTTTTGCCATATAAATTAATAACGCTATAAAAAAATAGGGGTTGATGATAGAAGGGTGAAAATTTAGGATTGTATGTATTTTTGTATGTTGTATCATAAAAAATAGAAACTAAAAGTTTTGTCTAAAATAAAAAAATAAAATTTAGGAGTGGACTACCCCTAACATTTAGGGGGATGAAAAATAGATGTTGGCCAATTCTCAGACTTACTCAATACGCTCACAAAATTTCATGAGAATCGGTCAAGCCGTTTCTGAGGAGTATGGGAACGAAAACTGTGACACGAGAATTTTATATATAAGATTATTAAAAATAAGTACAATAAATTATATATTTATTAAAAAATCAAATATATACAACCATAAAATGAAGACAAGAAAGAGAGATATGTAAAAATGAGCATATAATTGATTTTTATTTTCTCTATATTTTGTACTAATAGTTTCAGCGAAGGCGATTCATTCTGATGCTTATAAATTTGTTAGTTTTATACATATTTTATAGTATATAGCCTATATTGCTCTGGAATAATCTACCTATCAAGCAATGAACGAACTTCTCATATCCGTTTCCTAACGAAAAAACACTCTTTCGCTTCATAGTACCTATTAATATGCATAGGCTATTTGTGTGCCCAAAAACAAACTAATTTTACTTTTATTCATATTTATCGCAATTATTAATATAACTATGAAAACTTTGAAGATTGTAGTTATACTATATACTAGCACAACATATATAATTAGAGTAAAAAAACAAATTATTATTGTTTGTAAATTTATCTTTATAAATATTTAATATAGCTATCATTAGCTGTGCCCGCGGTATATTATTAATAATATAATTTAAATTTATTGAATTATAATTTCACAAAGTTAAAATAATGCATTTATTGAAAAAAGTGTCAAAATTCAATATATTATGTAGATAATAAAATAAACTATATAAATTATATTCGGTGAAAAATTTAATTTAGTTTCTAACTTCATTCCAACTTAAAACTAGAGGGAAAACAATGTGACAAAAAAAAAGAGTAACAAAAAATATGTACAACATTTTTAATTCAAAATATTTTCATTCCATTTTAACATGTATTTGTTCAAATTATTATTTTTGTGATATAATTAATTTGATAGTAGTCTAAAGATTTAGATTTGAGTTATATTGTATACTTGTATACATATATGTATATTTTTTTGTTCTTATTATGGTTTTGCTGCTCCACTTTTATCGTACATAATACTACTACTAGTACTAGTTGTGCCAGCGGTTTCACTCGCATGAAATTATTAGCCTATGTGTTAGTCTAATGTATAAGCTATTTTATAGTAAAGTTTTATTAAAATCTGTTTAGACAAAACGCATGAAAGAGCAACAAACATCCATCCATCCACGCTCACAAACTTTCGCGTTTATAATATTAGTAAGATTTTGTCATCATCATCATCATCAGCCTGTGTTTATCCATTGTTGGATGTAGGCCTTTCCCAAGACTTCCACCATGTGCGCTCTTTCGCCTTCCGCATCCATCCACTCCCGGCCACCGTCATAATGTCATCGGTCCATCTTGCAGGAGGGCGCCCGACACTCCGTCGACCCATACGCGGCATCCACTCCATAACCTTTCTTCCCCATCTATCATCGCTGACTCTGCTAATATGCCTGAGCCACTGCCACTTCAGCTGACATACTTTGAGGGCTATATCGTCCAGTTTGGTCCTCCGTTGAATTTTCTCGTTACAGATCATATCCCTTAGAGAATTTGCTTTCTCTTAAAAATTTTGCATGACAAAAAAATTAATTATTCCTAAATATAATTAAAAAAAGGATGTAATCACATTAAAATTAATATTTACATAAATAAACACTAAATCATCGTTTTAAAATTAAAAGTTTCAATACAAACATTGTTCTCGCTTCCTCTAAGCTAATAAAACAAGCATGACCCGTTTTAATTTCATATTTATTTACATAATCTCATTTTAGGGGTAACCAAAACCCAGGGGTTTGTGTGTTTCCATGTTTATTTTGTGTAACATAATAAATATTTGCTACGGTAAGCCGGCCGTACCTACATTGTAGTCTCCCGTGGTCGGACAAAGTTAAATCATTTATTGTACAATGATGTATTAGATAAATATAATTTATTATACATGAAATATTGAAATATATTTTATATATATATCATTTACAAAAATAAATACCTTTGGTCATGTCATATTGTCAGAATGACAATGGATTTCATTCTTCTTCATTTTATTGCATTTTATTACTTTGTACAGAGTTCATACGAAATTCTACAATTTCGTTCCTTTTACACTATTTGCATTAAGTGACCATTTATGTATCCACTAAGATTACGATTGCTTCAGAGAGAAAAATAATTGTTGGATATGTCATATATAAAATGGCAAACGATGATCGACCTGGTCGTAAGTGGTAACTTTAGATATAGAAGGAATTTGTCCGACATTTCGCATTTAGCCTAGATGGCATACAATATACTTAAATGCTACGAAAAATATTAAATTTAAATGTCAAACAATATTAAAAAAAAAAGAATAATGTCATAATAATACAAAAACTACAACTTAAGTATATGTAAAGTTTCAGCAAAATCTGTTTTGTAGTTTTTGTGTGAAAGAATGACAAACATCCATCCATACTCATAAACTTTGGCGTTTATAATATTAATAAGTGGCATGTGTTGTCTACAGAGCCTGCTGAGCGGGTAGGATGCGGCGGCATGAACCGCATCGTATTGCTGATGGCGATGCTCACCAGGGCCATCGCTCCTCAAAACATAACAGGTAAAATCCAAATTGCTTCTAATAGGTATTGAAAGTTAAATTAAAAGAGGATAGCAAAGATATACCAACATTAAAGTCACGATCATGTTCATCTTGACCTTCACTCGTGAACGGGTGCTGCTTGTGGGGTGTGTTATAAGTATATAAATAATATCATATAGGCAATGATATTATTATATGAATAATATAATTGCCTATTTTTTAGGCATTATTTTAAGGCAGATTTATGTTTATAGATATAGAAGTACCTATTACTTTAAAAATTTTACAAAATATATAATGGCTTCCATGATTTTACAATCTATTATGTTGTTTTAATTCAAATAGTATTCGGAGTAGGTTTCTAATAGTATTAATATAAATCTAAAAAATAATTTTAGTAAAAAAACATTAAAAACACAAAACAATAAAAAACATACCAACTGCAAATATTTTGGCGGTAGCAGTTTAAAACACCATCTCTTCATATTTTCATGGATTTGATGTCTGCGTGACACAAATGTTTGTAATCATATTATTTCTGGTCTAGGTATTTCTATGTTATATTAAAAAAAATATCCACTGTCTATTTTTATAAGCACGAATACAGGTGACTAAAATCCGTTCATATATGTATAATCTAATATATATTTAATAGAAATGTTAGAAAAATAAACACGGTGTTCCGAATAAAAAACACAATTGACTATAGTGTCCACCATTATACGCTAACAAAACACGATCTTTTTTCTACAAATCAGAAATTGAAACTACAGAAATTATTCAACTGGCCGCGATATGTCACCATCCCACTATAACTATCAATCTTTTTCAGAAATCCAAGGAACTGAACCCACGTCCCCGCTGACATCGCTCACTATGCCGCCCCCAACTGTCTTCCGTAACACAAGAATAACTACCAAGCCTAGACGACAACAAAACAGACAAGGGAAGGGAGACTCGCCCATGTTGAATTACATTTTCGATTCTTACGCGACGAGTAATAAACATTTTCATGACAAGTAAGTTATTTTTATATACAAAAATTACATTACAAAGTAAGAAATCTAAATATATATAACTCAAAGGTGACTGACATAGCGATCTATTAACGTACAGTCCAAACCACTGGACGGATCGAGAGAAATTTGGCATGCAGAAAGATGTTATGACGTAGGCAACCGCTAAGAAAGGATTTTGATTAATTCTATCCCCAAGGGGATAAAATAGGGGATGAAAGTTTGTATGAAACTTTGTCAATTTCAAACCGATCGGACTGAGACTTTACATGCATAAAGCTACTATGACGTGGCATCCCCTAAGAAAGGATTTTGATGAATTCCACCCTTAAGATGATAAATTAACGCGAGCGAAGCCGCGGGGAAAAGCTAGTTGATTATAAACATATTTTGTTCTTTGACATTTGTTACTACTTTTCTATTTACAGTTTTTCATATATGTTTCTTCTGTGTACACAATAAAGAGTTTATTATTATTATTACAACTTTTTGCCATATGACCTTTAAAATACTAATGGTAAAAAAGGGAGTTAATAGGATGATTGCGAACAGGGATGAATAGAAGAGAAAAACATAAGGGAGTAGCAGATAATGATGCAATATACATTTTAATTTGCAGTACTGTTCCTATTGGTCGTACCGTGATCTCTTGTAGCCTATGGCGTTCTTAGACTGTCGAACACTAAAATAATTTTCTAAATCAGATTCATATATATGAATCTGATTAGATTATGATGATCTGATAGAGAATTTAATTTAAATTATTTTAATATATATTCATAATACAGGAGATTACCACGAACACGCAAACTCACAAACTTTACCTCTTTATCATGTTAATATAAATGTTATTTTTAATAATTAAGAAGGTTATATTCCAAAATAATTTTCTACTTTAGTTTACAGTCTACGCATTGGCGTACATTGGAATATTATATGTAGATATTATATTAAAAAAATATTATACATACTAATTTTTCATTCATAATTTGAATATATATCGTAATTTCATATATTATTCCACGTGAACGATTAAGAAGGTTTCCTCGAGCATTTATTTATTATATAATGTATCATATACAAATATATTTATAAATGCTCAATTAATTTTAAATAGATTTACAGTACCAAATACAAAGTATGTTTTGTACAAACATCAATCAAAAATACAGCTGAAAATAAAATAGTCAAATAAGAGTAATATTCAGAAACAAAATTTCATTTACATACTATATGAATAATTATTATGGAGTAATTTAAAAATACAGGTATTTTATTATATTGCAATTTGTTTGCGATCGAAAATAGTCATTACATATTAATCAAAACTAGCTGTACCCGTGACTTAGTTCGCGTGGAATTTTATGTTATTTTTCTAAAATAAAAGAGCTTTTGTAAAATATAAGTAGCCTAAGTTACTCCTTATTACATCAGCTACCTGCTAAAAAAGTCCCATCAAAATCGGTCCAATCATTTCAGAGATTACACGAATTAGATACACAAAAATTGTAAAAAATCTAATTTTGGTGTATGTACCGTATTTATAATCATTTTTAATACATGCAGTATTACAAAAAGTTTATTTCAATATTACAAACAGACACTGCAATTTTATTATATGTATAGATAAAATTAAACTTCTTGAAAATAGAACTCGACATTCCATTCGACTCGACATAGAACGCCGATTTTAATATATTATTTAACAATAACTTTTTTTTATAATTACAACGTGCAATATTCCTCCACCAAACATAGTTTACTTTTTTTAAGTGCTAGCTGCACAGGACACATAAACGTGATGTTATATAATTACTAAACTACTACTATTGTCTATAAATAATGATATATAATTATGACAGAATAAAATTAAACTCAGTAGTCATTATAAATGCGAAAGTGTCTGTCTGTTTGTTACATTTTTACATAACCAGAACGAGCATAGGCTATCTTTTATTTTACTTCTTATCTTACTAATATTATAAACAAAGTTTATGAGTATTGATGGATAGACGGATAGATGACTGTTACTCTTCCACGCAAAAACAACCAGATGGATTTTAATGAAACTTTACAAGATATACATCAAAATAACATCTAGGCTATAAATTTCACGCGGCTGAAACCGTGGAAACAGCTAGTCTCAATTAAAGCTACAGGATAAAGGGTATCAATAAATTAAAAAAAAAATGAAAACAAAAAAAATCTATGATTTCTACTTAAACAGAGAGTTCAATACTCGCTTTTAAAATAAATCTACTCTAAATTCTACCCTTAGACTTGTATAGAAAACGAGGAAACAACAAAGCAGGTAATTCTAAAAACGGCGCTCAATTTATGAATCTTCACTAAATGGACTCCAGTAATGAAGTAAGGCTATAATAACGAAATTAGCATGATAACAGTAATTCCGATGCATAAACTTTATAGACACTAAGGATCTTAAAAGCTTACCTCCTTTGTATTTTTTACGATTCATCTTCGTAATGGGAAATGCTGTGCCAACATTGTGTTTCAAATTATATTGTACCTAAAATATAAATGGAATAAAGGTTTAAGTTTAAAAGCATTAGAAACTGTATACAGACTCATATAAATACTGGCATATTGAATACAAAATTACAATATACATACAATTCTTCAAAATAAAACTCGAAATATGTAGTACAGAAACTGTGACTTTGGATATATAATATGTTACATAGAGCATGATTATTTCTTTATCATTGTTATTTCTTTTTTTTATAAAAAAAAATATACTATATTAAAGATCTAATATTGTCGTCATTTAACTGTGACGTCATTTAACCTTTATGTAACATTCTCTATCTATATATTTTTACGGATGACGATGAAAGTGGTCAGCTGACGGTAGCGGGGTACCAGTGGAGGATTATAAGACGAGTATGAAACGTCAGGTCAGTTAGCCCATTGTAGCTAGTTTACTATATGAAATCCTAGTCCGTCCGGATTCAGGACCGTCCTGGTGAATTTGCTTCGAAGAACTAACTGACCTGACATCTCATGCTCGTTTTATCATCAACCACATGGTTATTATGAGGGATACTGGGATTTCTAGCTGCATTGGCTTAAATATACAAAAACAAATAAATAGAATATTTTACATTAATATGATGATAATATCGGATAGGGACTGACGACTGAATAATGACTCAATATTTTTTTTATAATTTAATATACATAAATTTTATACAAATTATTGCATTAAATAAAAGCTTTTTTATATAAAATGAAGTCACTTCCGCTGTCTGTTCGGTTAGATCTTCCAAACTACGCTACGGATTTTAATGCAGTTTTTTTTAATAGATAGAGTGATTCACGAGGAAGATTTATATTTATAATACATGTATACCCGCGCGAAGCTGGGCTGATATCTAGTATAATGCTAACTAGAAATATAAATAATAATTCTCATACCAATCCTGATAGTAACATATTATAAACATGAAATAGTACACTAAAATTGGTTTATATTACCTATGATATAAATAACCAAATGGAATTATGATAAAAAGACTTTTATGTCATATAAAATTCTTTGAATCTGTACTTGAAACTACAGACATGTGGGTTTTATTACAGGCAAAGTTTCAACCCAAAACTTGTGTAATTGGGTAAGGCAAAGCAGCGAGAAAGTTTCCGCGTCTTATTCATACCTCTGTGTGCACTTATGGGCTTGTTACACTATCTTCTTCTATTGTCTGTATTACCATAGATCACTACTACAAAACCGCTCCCTGTTATGCATTATGTCGTTCACACCTCTATCTATAGATCCGTTTTCGCTGAATAAATGTATTAATTATTTTTAAACTTTCGTGGTTAATATACATTATTTATATTATTAACCGGGTCTTAACAGGAATAATTTTATGTTAAATAAAGGCATTTACCCCTCTCGACGTTTCGACTAAGTTGCACTAGCCGTGGTCACGAGCTGACTGGTTAATTCGTGACAACGGCTATAAAATTATTCGTGTTAAGACCTGGTTAATAATATAAATAAATATATTATTAATTTATACGAATTAATTAAATTGTAAAATACTAATTAAATAAAAATATTAGGTAATTAATTTAAAAATTGAATCCTGAACTGTCTGAATTAGCAGTACCAGAAGTCTCATTACTTATCCACTTTTATTGTAAACTAGTTGTGATTTCACACTAATGAAATTTATTTTGTTACAAAAATTTCTTCTATAAGTCAGATTTATTTATAACTCTACTAGTTGTATCTGCGGTTTCACCCGCATCAATCATCATTTATAGCCTATGTGTTATTCAGAATCGAAACTTTACAGTAATCTTTAAGCTATACTATAAAGTGTTCATAAAATCCGTTCAGTAGTTTCTGCATGAAAGAGTAACAAACATCCATCCATACTCATAAACTTTCGGATTTATAATATTGTGTAGTAAGTAAGTAAGACATATAAGTGAGTGGTATTTATTACTGGAAAATTTTCAGCCCAAAACTTATATAATTGTTTAAGACAAAGTGCGAAAGTTTCCACGTCTTATTGGTGTGGGCACTTATTACACTATCCTTGATTATTGTAAATGTTATAATGGATGAGACCATAAAATAACTTTGAGTTTTACATATATGTATGTACATATTCTTATGTATGGGCCACTGTTGCAGTGAAATAAAATGTGGGTATAAAATTAATGAAAAGAATATTTAAACACATATTAATAATGCTTGTAATTCACCTATTTTTTTTAAAAAAAGTACTTCTATATGACAGTTGTGAAAGTATATTTTTTTTTTATATTTAAGTAATTTATTTTTATATAATATCAAACTTATATAACATAACGTCATAAAATTATATTTTGAAAATGCTAGACGGTCGTTAAAAATACCATAACAACGAAATTGGAAAACGTTGTAAGTACATAAAAATTAAAAGAAGTTTCAAATTTAAAAAAAAACAAAAACATATTTTTAGTTCCAGTCATAAAAGTGAAAGAGA